ACACACACACACACACACACACACACACACACACACACTCCATACAGATTTGTTCATACGTCCCTGTCTATTGCTTGCTTTTAGGTGAATTACACGTACAAAAGTCCACCGCAGTTCTTTGGTCTCTTCATTCGATAAGACGCCTGCAGCTTTGGAAGCACTGTTGAAGGCTTCAGCTCAGGGTATGGAGGGGATCCTGAGGTATGGGGAAAAAGCATTTTTTATTAGCTCTGTAATGTTGTTAATGGTTTGATTGTAGTAATTAGTAGATTTGGATTAAGATAAGATAGAAATGTACTATAAAACTTTGGCAGATAAGATGACAGTACTTTACCTAAAGTGATCAGTTCATATAGTAGGATTCCAAATGACCACCTGGTGTGCGGGGAGAACAAAACAAAACACTGTGACTCATAGAAACATGATTTTTAAAGCATGTAATGCACATACAAGAGCAAAGACAAAAAATGTGAATAATAAAAAATATATATCGTGTGTCTTTGTTTTGTTTCCTTAGCCATAACTCTGCCCTTACACGTCGCTTCTGTCGATACTGAGCAGCATCATAATCCGCTCTGGAGCCTGCCATTTCAATGGCACCTTCGCTGCCCTTTGTCTAATTGCTGAATCCATTTTGCGTCCTTCAAATGCCACGCCCAGGCCAGATACTCGAGCCGAGAGGCCTGGGCCAATTAAGATGTTTCTGGCAGCAACATCACCATGCACCAGCCTGTGCTCTGACATCAGGTAATCCTGGAGGAGGATCCAATTACAGCTAAACATGTCAATCTTTTTGTTGCAACAGTTATTCAAGATTCAAGATAAACAACACTTTCCAGCATCTTGGGGGGAAGAAATGGCAGAATGTCATCTGCTGCAGGGCGTGACATCTAAAATGAACTCGCTTTATTCCAGTTGTGTGTTGGGAATAATTGGTCTAAAAAAAGTGACTCACCAGGCCAGCTGCAATCTGTTTTGCCACCAGAAACACTGACCTCTCAGAGAAGTTCTGCGAGGGATCTGCAGTGCTTAAATTGTTCTGGAGTTAAAAATAAGTCCTTGTCATTGCACTACATTGAATAATTGAAGATTGCCTTTGCCACTGAATAGGTAGAAGGTTTGGATCACTTACATTTCTAAGTGTCCAGAGGAAGTGAAGGAGATTCCCTGGGTTGTAGGCATCTAAAACCAGGTACATGGGTAGACGTTTGGTGTGACAGTGCAGCATCTGCACCACATTTTCATGTTTACACACTGAAGCACAGAAGAGGAGCCACTCAACAAATTCTTTAGCTTCAGGCTTGCCAGAGGCATCTGTATGGAATTAAATTAATAGAATAAAAACTGGACAAGCTTAACTCCAGTGATGACCCTTGCTTTATATCAGATTTATACAGTACCTCGAAGGCACTTAACCACCACGACAGAAGAGGCTCCACCTTTCTTCTTCAGCAGACCTTTACAAATGGGGCCATAGCAACCAGTCTGCCAAAACTCTAGTCCCTCAAGAACACACTCTTCTGGGATTTCCCAGGGATCTAAAGCTGCCGGGACCTTTGGAGGACCTACAGAAGCTGTAGACAGGGATACAATCTGCTGGCCTGATACAAGGGCAAATATAAGTAAATAAGCACTTGGCATTACTATGAGACACTCAAACAGAAATATGTTAGATTTTTAAAGGATTTCACACTGTTTTAATGAATTGACATATAGTTATTGCAGCTCCTACCATTTTTAAAATGAGGTGAAGTCCTGTATCGTCGTTCTTTATTTTTACATAGAGTATAAAAAATGAGAGCCACCACTAACACCGTGCTCAGAGCCAACAGGGAAGGGATTATAATGAGGGCAAGTGTGCCTGATGACTCTTCATCTACAAAACAAGTTAAAGAAGCAGGTTCAGAACATTTCAAAGTACACGCTGTTGCTTTCACCATTTCACAATTACTTTTTCACACAGGGGCAGGTCGTTTGTCATAGCTTTTTCCCCCTTGAGAAATTACACCATCATCTAAAAACTGCATTTTGTATTTACCCCGGTAATCTTTGTCTTTGTGACAAACATGCAACAAACTAAGAAATCAGGAAGGGGTCAAATGCTCTAGCTGTCGTGTATACAAGGCAAATGAACTTCCAGCTAATAGCAATGCAATCATTATCATGTTTAAAACTTACAGGATGGACAGAGAGAGGTGTCATTGATACATTTTGTGTCCACGTCCATTAGGAGCAGGTCGCATTTCTCAAATGTGGGAGAATCTGCAGACCGTATCAACAAAAGCAATTCAAGGGTTGCCAGTCGAGAATTTTATTCCGGTGTTGAGTAAAACTAATTAACTTTGAAGTCATTTGAAAATGAAAAAAACAAAACAAAAAACGAGCAACGCACAGTCTAAATGTTAAAAATTAGTCTTCCTACCTGACACCAGAGGCTCTATTGTGCGGGTGAACAAACATTTACAGACCTTATAATATAAAAATTAACAGCAGTGGGGAAAAAAGAGAAAAGAAATCATAATAACACAGCTGTTATCAGCGGCTTTTCAGAATACAGGCTCCGCACTGTGAGGGCGCTGACCGGAGAGTGGCGCTGGAAAGTTGACTGACTGTTAATTATTAGCAAAGCAACAGAAACGATAACATTAACAGGAGTCATGCTCACACTTAATGCAACCAAAACAGGTTAGTCACTAAACTGTGACGAACACACACACACATCTCACAAGAAATGTGTCTCTGCTTCATCAGACAAAATATGAAAGACAAAGTAGATAACAGGTACGGGCGTTAAGAAAAAGGGGTAAACCAGGTAAAAAAAAAATTAAATTAGTGAGCTTAAATAAAATGTATATTTAAATGCGCTAACGCCGATGTTTATTTACTATATTCATATATAATTAATCGCATCGGATGTGTAAGATTAGTTAAAATTCAAAATCTAATAGTTTTACAAGTGAATGTTGCCAGCTGGCGCTTTGGATGACATGCCAGCCTCAGTCTGTTGGCAACCACAAGAGGGCAGACTTGCACAAAAAATCAACAACCACTACTACAATTAACCGACACACAACCTTCCTAGTTCCAGATCTCCAAACGCATTTCACGGACCTAAAGCAACCATGTAAAATTCAGGAATCACTCAGAAGCTGTTGCACTTTGCAATAGGAATACAAAGAAATTTGGAGAAAAAAATCCAAACCGCAGACCAAAGGTCATACACAGAGATAGGTTACCCATCTCTGGCTATCTGCAAGCATGTTCTACGTGAAAATACGCGTCCCCAAGGGGGAACTCCGCCTTGCAACGGACTGAAAACACTCACAGAACTCCCACCCTTTGCCATTCACCATTGGCGTAATATACGCGCTTTGGGAACGCCTCCCACATCTCCGATTGGACAGAACTGCCTGCCGTCATAAAAGCAACACGGAAAACGATTAAAAAAAGTTATGGAGCGAAGCCTTATCGGATCACGTCTTTTGCATGCTGCTGCATAGTTTTCAGAATAAAAAAAATCAGCTGTGCTTCTGGAAAAAACAGGAGAGAGCGCATAGCGCGCGACGAGGCGCAACGAGCAGAGTTTCGGTGTTTTGAAAGGATCAGATAACCGATAACCGCTGAGTTCGGGGGAGGACCAGGTGTGTTTTCCCGTTTCTAAGGACTGCCTTGTTGATGTCACCATGGAGGAGTGCTGGCGAGTAGGACAGGTGCGCAGGGTGAAGTTGCCTCAGTGGGTTCGCATGAGGAACTGTCAGTGACAGAGGACTTTTTCAGCAGCTGATGAACCTCGTATAAACCCATTTTTTCACGTTTTCCTGTATTTTATTTTATTTTATTTTTTAAATAAACTATTTCCGTCAGTGTTGTCAAATGTGCTGGCGTTTCCTGAAGTCCAGAGTGGGATATATGCTATTTTTCCCACGCTTTTCTGACAGGCACTGGTGCGCGCAAACTGCTGGACTCGCCGGTTCCGTCCTGCTCTGTAACACATATCGGGGTGTAACAGTGCGGGGGAAGCTACTGTTGGTTATTAACCGCACATTGCTGTGAACTGGGGTGTGGGATCGAGACGCCCCAGCATCAGAATCAGCACTTTCCGCTTCAATGCGACACTGACGCAGCTGGTCTCACATTCCAGTCGCGGACAGGTGATGCTCGGATAAGTCAATGGAAGGATATTTGATTCTCAGGAGCAGCTGAGCAAAAAACAACAAGCAAACAAACAAACAAAAAAAGCAAGAGTTGTTTTCCTCGAGATGGAATACACCACAAGGCAGCAGCATCATTAACTTCTCTAATCGGCAATGATTTTTCCGTGCGTCATTGCGTCTTAGGTTTTGAAGCGGTTGTTGCTTTGAAGGACAATCGTTCTTGGACTTCCCTATAGGTTTTCAACATCTACCAACAATGTCCAAGACACTGAAAAAGAAGAAGCACTGGTCAAGTAAAGTGCAGGAGTGCACCGTCTCGTGGGGAGGTTCCGGGGAGCTGGTCACTGTAGCGGAGGTGCGAGGTGGCGCTGAGCTGGGAGAGTTCCCCTATCTTGGACACATAGTGTCGGAGGCGTTGGTGTGTCACGCCGGGAGGCTTCCCAGCATTGGGGACGTTCTGCTGGAGGTTAATGGCACTCCCGTGAGCGGACTCACAAACCGAGACACGCTGGCTGTCATCCGCCACTTTCGGGAGCCAGTCCGCCTGAAGACTGTGAAACCAGGTGTGTGTCCAATGCTATTTTAAATCACTATGACATCCTTACATACGAAAATAAACCTGACACGTGTTTTTTAAAATAATTCCCCCCTGAAAATGAGAACCTGAAAATAAGAACTGTGGACTGGTGTGACTGAGATGAGGAGGTAGCCTGTGTTAAAGTGTGTGCGTTTGGTTTATATTTGGAAGCAGACTTGCAGGTCAGCCTTGTATTTTCAGTTGGCCTAAGCATATCTAAATTGTCAATCAGCATACTTCACATTCTTTCATTCATTCATGTGGTGACTCATATTTACACAACCCCTTTACTGGAGTAAAATCCTGCCAGACAGCATTTGTAAAGGGCATGCTGTGTTTCACCATGCTTCCTCATCTTCTCCACATCTGCATGGTTCAAAGATAAGACACGAACCCCCATTAAGGTCACAGGCCTCTGCATGAACTCGCATAATACACATAATCTTCATTTTATCACTGCACAAGTGTCACATCTACACTTGTGAGCTTTTGTGTTCCACATTAAGAGACTCATAATTCAATGCATGAAGGTAAATATACACTGTTATTCAAATATTTGATATATTATGTTCAGTAGATCTGCTCATAGTGCACTTATTGGCTCTGTCTTTGTTGTTATCTTACTTACTAGCGGTAGTTTATAATTCTTCCTGTCCTGCACATACATGCTTAATCAATGCCACTGTATTATATGTGTAAAAACATACCGGATACAAACTAGCCAACTGAAGGAGTGTAAATGGAGGCATAATAGTGGCAAGGGATTTGTTAATGGTTACCTTGCCCTGTTAGACTATGTCATTTCGCTTGCATTGTAAAGGTGAGAATGAGTCTAATTGGATCAATTACACACATGCACCTACTTTAGTTGCCAGAATGCTGCACACACACTTGACTATATTTACTTTGTAGTTGGTTTCTATTACAATACATAAGTATCAATTCTAATATTCTTGGATGTACTGGTGAGATATATATATATTTATATTTATTGCATTAGGTCAGTTCTCAACACCTACACTGTTGCAAACATTTCTTATTGACCTTGTGTTACGTAATGCATTTTAAGTGATGTTCAAGCTGCACTTGCTCATCTCTAGGCTGCTTACCATCAGTTCCTCTGTTCCCCATGGGACCTCACTGTGTGTTTAGATCTGTCCCCTCATCCATGATTAATTCATGCATCATCCATTATTGATGGCCGCTGCCTGCCAGGATGACTAGTGGCTGATGACCAGATCATATGTTAGCCGACTGGCATTCTTGTAAACTTGCATTCTCACGAGATTGCAAAGTTAGGAGAGGAGACATGCAAGTACAGAGCTGTGGATCTTGTGGTTGTTTAGGTTAGGTTTTGTCCCCTTCAGTGAAAAAAATGTTATAGTACATTATTGCATGTTTACCTTGTGCTTGCAGAGCAAACAGTAAAAGAAGTTAGAAAAGGAATAATTTTTCAGGTGTCTACCTGATGGAAATTTTCCATATTTTCTTGTTGCCTAGTTTGTCTTCACCTTATCTTCACCCCACAGCCGATTATGGCTTATCGCTACACTTTGCTATTTCCCATCACCTCTGATATTTTACCATATCTAATCTTTTATGTTCATTCTCACTTTTGCCTTGATACTTTTTTCCTAATCTTCTTGCATCTATGCGCTCCTCTTCCTACTACTAATTTAACAATCTTGCATTGCCCTTCTACTGGATCATATTAAATGGTAAATGGCCTGTATTTATATAGCGCTTTACTAATCCCTAAGGACCCCAAAGCCCTTCACACATCCAGTCATCCACCCATTCACACACTGGTGATGGCAAGCCACATTGTAGCCACAGCCACCCTGGGGCGCACTGACAGAGGCGAGGCTGCCGGACACTGGTGCCACCGGGCCCTCTGACCACCACCAGTAGGCAACGGGTGCAGTGTCTTGCCCAAGGACACAACGACCGAGACTGTCCGAGCCGGGGCTCGAACAGGCAACCTTCCAATTACAAGACGAACTCCCAACTCCAAATATTAATGTTACCTTTCTGCCACGACAGTTTTGCAGCTTTAAAATCAAATAACATTTTTGTTTTTTCATCAAAGCTGAGAGTTGTTGATGTTTCGCCTCTGCCATCAAGACAGAAAACAGAGGTTTGTCTCTAGTGGTCCTCTGGCTCCTGCCCAGCCAATGCACTCAATATGCAGCTCCCATCCTGAGAGCTGAGCAAGGCAGTAACCTTGAGGGGACGATTGAGAGTAGAAAGGTAGTGACGGCCGTTACCTGTCGCAGTTTAGAGACCTGTGAGTGGGCAGGTCATTGATTAATGCTGTAAACAGACATAGATCTGCTTGTTTTTGCCTCATGGAGCTTAATGGATGGGCCATTTACCTCCCAGGTCCTGAAGCACCTTAGTTACAAATCAGGTCTGTAACTGAAGTTGTTAAAAAAAAAAAAGGCTCTTGGAAAATTTTCTGTCTCTTTTTTTTTTAAAGTCTCACAGATGGATAATGATGATGATAAGACCAATGTTCACTTTTTACAGTGTCATGAAATTCTGTCTAAGGAAAGCACGTGGAAACCTTTCTGGAGGCGAGATTTAGATTGTCACATTTCAAAGTGCTAATTGTTTTCTCAGTTAACACATTTCTCTTTTAGACTTAGAAAGTCTTGTGATAAATGTGGTGTATAACATTACAATAAAGCGGGGGATGATTCTGCTGGACCTTTTACTTAAGGTGTTAATAAAAGTGACATTTTCTTTAAAGGAAACAGAAATGAAGTCTTTTATTTTTCTTGATTTTGAATATTTTTCCTTGTTCATACAACAGATGAATTAAGCTTCAGCTAGGTATCTTGAGATGCCACATGAGCCTTTTTATAGCAGAGAAGCGTTTTTTAAAAATTTCTTCATGTAAATCAAAAACACCGGCGATCTAGTCTGTTTGTTTGTCTGTGTGGGTGTGTGTGTCGGGGTGGGTGTGTGTGGGTTGGGTGGAAGGAAGTATTCAAAATATGTAATTCAGTGCAAACACACTCCACTTAATAATACGGGAGTGGTGATGTCAAATGAGCTTCCTCACGCTTGCCTATCCAAAGTACCTCGGGTATCTTGCTTGAGGATTTGAACAATAAAGTCCTTTTTAATGCATGTAACCCCCATTTTAACTAATGAGCCAAAAAAGAATCCTGAAGACATTGCCATGAGCAATCCTGTAACAATAAACTTCAATAATAAAGTAGGAGATAATTTCAGTGGATTTTATTCCACCTGTTAGGCCTTTTTCCTTGGATCTTCTTACGCTGTCATATATCACTAACCTGTGATGCTCGGTGCTTTCCAGGAGTGAGTTAATATGATGAAATGCTTTACTTTCCATTCTTAATTTGCTTTGACGACTACCTGAAAATGTGCTTTCATGCGTGTAGTTGATGCTATGGCTGTTGCTGAGCAAATGTCGAATTCAGCACCTTTACTAAGTGCACCTTATGTTTAGCGCTGCAACCAATAATTATGTTCATGACTGAATTCTGTTATTTTCCTGAATGAGTCAAGGTGTTATTTTTCGGCCTATGATTATTTCCATAAACTAACTGTGATGTCTTGAAATGTGCCGTTTGATCAAAGGGACAGTTCGAAATATTCGAAAGATATTCAGTTTTCTGTTATGACACAGAAAAGAACCAAATCCTCAAATCTTAGAAGCTCATAATGTTTGGTGTTTTGTCTGTTAAAGTTATTATTAGTGTAATTCCAGCTGTTTCCATCTATTTAATGGCTTTGTAGATTGTCTTACAGGAAGACAGTCTTGACTATTTTAAATGTTCCTGATTTTGGAATCTATTGCCGAATCACTGGAGGTTTTCTAGTTGTCTTTTTTTTTTCATTACATTGTTGAAAACTGGATTTCTTTACCAATGTTAGCCTCACTTGGTAATTTGCTCCTTTTTCATGTCTAAAGTAGAGGCTCTCACTTTCTTTTCTTTTTTGTCTCACCGGTGTAACATCGAGTTTCACATCTCACACGTGTGCCATCAGGAGTACAGCGGAGCATTAAGCGCACAGTTTGTGTTAATGTGATTCCCTCACAGGTTCAGTCAGAGCTTCGACTAAGCTGCTCTAACCCAGCTGAGACGAGCTGTCAGCGTGTGTCTGGTTCTGTGGCTCCTTCTCCCCATGGTAAATGTAACTTCGGTTCCAGTTGCTGCTTTTTTTCCCCTGTGCGTCTACTGTGAAGCCCAGGTTTGTCCTAGAATTTACCTTGGAAAGAAGGTGAAAGTTTTTGCATACCCAGATACTTTGAAGTGTATTAGATTTCTCTTTACAATCTGAGTGCCATAAAACACAGTCAGTGTTACAAGTGCAAAAGGAGCTTTATTGGTACCCTTAGTTTCTGTGGTCTCTACTTCATTGGGTTTTTTCTATGCTTGTTTAAGTGTACGCATCTTTACATTTAAGTCACATCCACCCATCATGGCCTCCTACTGGCTGGAATCCCAGCTCATTCCCCAGTCCAAACTTCTGCACCTTTTGCCTTTACACCAATCAGTGACATGGGATGATGGTTTGCTCAACTCCCCAGATGACAGCACTTGCCATGGATGAAGAACATGTCTTCCTCTTCTTTTCTTCCCTCCATCCCTTAGTAGCGAAGCCCCTTCAGTTATTAGTGAAGTCCTCTTCTTCAGTAGCTCCTCCTAAGCACAACTCTGCACTATCTCACAGTCTCCTTGTTCACTTTTGCCTACATCATCTTGCATTCCTCTCCTCCTCCGTTCAATGTTAAGGGGAAAAAAATGACAGAACAGGGACAGTGTAGGTTTGCATAGTAGGACTTATTTAAATTCTTTGATTTCTGCATAATTTTTAAATTTTGTAATCTTCAACAGATGTCAGAACTCTCCCCCCCCCGAGAAGTTTAGCAAACTGGGATTCAACTTCATTCTACGTTGCCAGTCCTGTTCGTAGAGCCGCATTGCAGTAATGAACTGGCCAGCAACA